ATCATTTACCGCTTTACCATTCAGGCAAACAAGCCCGTTCAAAACAACACGTTCCATTTTTGGAACAAATACCTGGATCCTGAACTCATTACCTTCCGCAGATATGGTAAACTCCCGGCCATCTGTACCGTTAACCGTAATATTCTTTTCTTTAACGGTCTTATACATCTTTACGTACCGGTTCTTTACACTTCTGTACATACTGTCAACGCCAACTTTCGCACGCTCAGGTGTCAGATCAGCGTACAACGTCATGAACATTTTCATATTTGCGATGTCGAAAAAAGCCTTCATGTCAATACCCATTGATGTCATGGAATTGAACTGTTCCGCGTTCCCTGGCATTTGCAAATGATAGGCGCTGTCTGTGACTGCCACAGGTAACCAGGCCGTTTCTTTCAATTTCAATAAATACTTATCAGCGCTTATTTTCTTAGATGATAAAACCGGTGATACAACAAACCCTTTGCTTCTTAAAAGTGAGATCACTCCCGAATCGCCCGGCAGGTGCGCAGCCCCAACCGCGAAAACCATCGAACGAACGGAAGAAAGGCTATCCATCATCCTTGCCATTTTCAGGTTTCTCTTAATCATGATATAATCTTTCTCATCACCAGACTGCCAGCACATCGCTTCTATACTATCAAGTCGCTGGTCGAGGTACAGCCTTGTGAGTTTTTCAAGACCTTTTCTATAATACTCGTCATCAAATAATACCTGTTGAAGTTTAGACTCTACCGATTCGCTATTTATGTGTTCAAGCTGGTCTTCCAATTCTTCAAGGCCTCCTGTCCATTTTCCCTGCTTCCTTGCCATTCCAAAAAGATAAGCGTCAAGAAAAGTTGGCATCTCCCCTTTCTTGAAAATTTCGCTTTTCAAATTAGATTCATAGTCTTCGAGGTCGTCGACTGTGATCTTTTCAGCCGGCATAGAGAATTTTTCTTCCAATTTCTTATGGTACATTTCCCAGGTTCGCGCGCTAACGGCATCTTTTACTCTCACTTTTTCCCTGGCCGCCTTCGCATCCTTTTCAGCCATCACTTCATTGATAGCTTTCATCCCAAGGGAATTCATATCAATTTCCGCTGCGAATCCGTCGGTGTTTTCCATCACGCGGTATAGAGAGTCGGTAAATTGAAAAACACGTTTGTCGGTCAGGTGAATCGTTCCATACAAATAGGAAGCTTTATTAAGACCATTCCCGGAAATACGCCACAGGAACGTTCTGGCGAGAGTACCCTTTTGGCTAAAAGAGGTGGTGCTGGCGAACGCTACCAAAAAAAACAGGTAGAAAATCCTTTTCATAAGCAGGTTTTGCGCTACCAAATTAATCCAGCGCTTCGAGAATTTTAAGACAAGCCTCATTTATTTGTTCCTCCGAAATGGTAAGCGGAGGAGAAATACGCAGGCTACTGCTGTCAAAAAGAAACCAATCCGTCAACACCCCGTGGCTAATGCAGTAATCGATCACTTTTTTATTTGATTCAAATGAATCAAACCCCACCGCAACCCACAAGCCAAAGCTTCGGATTGAGAGGATTCGCGGGTGGACAAGCAACTCGGTGAACAACCTCTCCTTTTGCCTGACCCCGGCTATTAAGTTGTCTTCCATCAATACTTCAAGGGCAGCGAGGCCTGCGGCGCAACAAACCGGGTGGCCGCCAAACGTTGTAATATGACCAAGCACAGGATCTGCGGCAAGCTGTGACATTAATTTGCCATCGGAAATAAAAGCTCCAAGCGGCATACCGCCACCCAATGCTTTTCCCAGTAGAAGTATATCAGGCACGATGTCAAACTGCTCGAAACCCCAAAGAGTACCGGTGCGACCAAATCCTGTTTGTATTTCATCAAGCACCAGTAGTGTACCTGTATCGGTGCACTGCTGACGCAGCGCCCGTAACCATTCCCGTGAAGGCGCCCTGATGCCGGCCTCTGCCTGCACGGGCTCAGCGATCACACAGGCAGTCTGCGTTGTAATGTAACGTAGTGATTCAAACGAATTATATTCAAGGTGAATGATATCCGGCAGCAGTGGACGAAATGCATTTCGCCAATACTCATCGCCGATAATACTCAGTGCTCCCTGTGTGGACCCATGATAGGAATGGTTGAACGCAATGATCTGTGTGCGGTTTGTCGCTTTCTTAGCCAGTTTCATGGCTCCCTCAACGGCTTCGGCACCCGAATTGGTAAAATAAACCGATTGTAGTGTGGGAGGCAGGTAATTGGCCAGCAAACGGGCATATTGAACCTGCGGTGTTTCCACAAATTCACCATACACCATAATGTGC